GGGTGTGCACCGGCCTGGGGGCAACGGTGTGGACTTGAGAGTGACCATGGGTGACTCTTGGGAAGCAATGCCAGGCCCTGCTCTGCATGGTCTCCGTGCATGTGACTCATGCAGTCCTCGCAACAGCCCCATCAGGCGGGCACCGCACCCATGCAGCAGCAGTCCCTGTGTAGCATGCTCGGCTGCCACACAGAGCACCGCCATCTGGGGCTTACACAACAGGCATTCATTTTCTCACAGTTCTGGAGGCTGGAAGTCCAAAGTCAGGTGTCAGTAGGTGGGTTCCTTCCAAGGCCTCCCTCCTTGGCTTGTCTTCACGTGGTCTTTCCACTGTGTGCATCTGGGTCCTGATCTTCTCTTCTTGTAAGGGTACCAGTCATACTGGATTAGGGACCACTTTTACAACCTCATTCTAACTCAGTTACCTCTGTATTATACAGCCACATTCTCAGGTGCTGGGGGTTAGGACTTCAATGTAGGAATTTTGGGGAGAACACAATTCTCCAGCCCAGAAGATGTCTCCATTCCCCAATGCTGGGGCTTTTGACAGGGACAGTGCTTTGTCTGCCAGGGCTGCTGAGAAGGTGCGATCTCCCTGTGGAGCTGCTGAGGGCCCCCTTCCGGCCCCCAGGAGGTGCTGTCTGAGAATGATGCGGAGAAGATCTGGGAGATGGAGAGAGAGCAGCAAAGCCTGGCACACTGGAATCCTGCTCCGCCTGTGACCTTCTCATTTCCAGTTACATGAGCTAATAATTCCCCTTCTCTGCGTTACTGAGGTACAACAGCATGGTGAGAACATTTGTGAGTGTTCTGAGGTTGCTAACGAAGAGAGTTAGCTGAGGCCAGGACCTTAACACCGGAGCGGCCCACGTCCCCGCACCTGCAAGGTGGGGGCACACGGCAGCTGTAAGAGTGGATCCAGGCGCCTGGGGGCCAGCCCTGAGTGGTCCTTTGGGACACTCCCGAGTCACATCCGTTCATAACACAGCAGGGGGCGCGGTGCCAACATCCCCAGGTTCCCGGACTGCTGCTTCGAGAGCGGGTTCCCCCAACAGACTGAGGGCTCCTGTCCTCCAGCCCGGCGTCCGCAGGCCCTGCCGCACACCTCAGGGCAAGCCTCAGGACGGAGCACGAGGAAGGCCCCGTTCCCTCCGCGGCTCCCCTGGAGGATGGTCTGCAGGAGCACGGGGCAAGAAAGAGCCCAAGTGTCCCTGCAGGGAAAGCCAGCTTCCTCACAGGCCAGCCTGACAGCCCAGCAGGGCTCCTATTGTTGCCCGAACACCACGGCACCTGCTCTCTGGTATTGGACTGAATCGGGCCATCTCAAAGGGAAACTGCGAACTGAAAAAAAGCAACGACGTATGATACTATTTGTATAAAAACAGGAAGGGAGCTACCTGCTGAAATGTACATAAAGGACCTCAAAAATCAGGCTGTCTGATACACTAGTCACCAGCTACATGAGGTTACTTAAAATTAATTAAAATTAAATACAAATTCACTTTGCCAGTTGCTTCAGACCTATTTCAAGGGCTCAATAACTACAAGGAGCTAATCCAGCCACTCACCGGATGGCGCGCATTTCTACCACCTCAGGCAGCCCCGTCAGCCAGCGTCGCCCTGGAGGGAATCGGCCAACTGGTAATGCCGCTGGGGAAGGGGAGCAGGAGACTGGGTGGGGGGAGTGTTTCTCACGTGGGATTTTTGGTAGTACTTGAATTTTTTTATCACATGATATATTATTTTCTACTCAAAATTAACCATTTAAAATTTTTCAACACAATTTTAAACATTTAAGTACATAGGTCACATAAGACGGTGTTGGAATACTCAAGGGACATGGGTCAGTGGCACAGTCTGAAGCCCGGAAGTTTCTGTGGAAGGAGGAGGAGACCCTTTGGGGGCAGGTGTGAGAGGGAGCAGCCTGGTCAGGGGACCCCGAGCTGGCAGCCTGCACACCTGGCCCACACTCACACCTGGCCCACACGCAGGAAACTCCTCTGTCCCTCACATTTCCGTCCTCTCAGCAACCTTGTAAAGTCCTCAGGACGATTATTATTCCCATTTGTTTTAGTTTCCTAAGGCTGCTGCGTCAAATCACCACAGACTGGGTGGTTTCGGATGACTGAAATTCATGTTCTCCAGTTCCGAAGGCCAGAACCCAAAATCAAGGTGTTCGCAGGCGGGTTCATTCTGGAGGCTCTGAGGGAGAATCCCTTCCACGCAACTCCAGCTCCTGCCGGGGAGGGGGGAATGGATGCAGGGTGGGGGTGGGAGGGGCTGCAGTCAGTCCTCAGAGGTCCTGGGCGTGTCAGATCGCCACTGCCTCCATTCTCCAGCACCTTGGCCTATGTGTGTCTGTGTCTCAAATCTCTCCCTTCTGTATCTTATAGGAACACTTATCATTGAATTTAGGGCCCAGCCTAAATCCTGGATGATCTTATCTCAAGATCCTTAACTTAATTATATCTGCAAAGACCCTATTTGCAAATAAGGCCACATTTGTAAGTATGGGGGTGGTGGGCCTGGGACATACATTTAGGGGGACTCAGTTCAATCCACTACACCATTTTATAGATGAGGGGTGCAAGGCTCAAGGGCCCTGCCTTTGTCCAAGGTCACAGGACTACATCAGGGCCCAGCCCTGCCAGCCCTCCCCCCACCCCCCTCCATTGACTGGGGCAGGAGCAGCAGCCGGCCCCTCCCCTCAGCTTCCAGGCTCCCACTGAGCACCGCTTCACAATGGGCAGCACACAAGAAGAGCCCCCGCCCCTTCCCTGGCCTCGATATCTGTCTGCTGCATCCTAGGATCTGACAAAAGATTACAGTGTCCCCCAGGCATGGGAAGGAGCCAGGCAGGGGGATCTGTGGGCATCTTAAATCAGATGGGGACCCATGCCACAGAGGATGGTCTCTGTCTGGACTCCAAGAGCCCGCGGGCAGATCAGAGCCAGGGAGAAAGGGAATGCATCAAGGCTTCTGGTGTCGGAGAAAAGGCCTCTGTTGGAGAAAGTGCCAGCCTCCGGGCTTTTACATCAATTAGGGCTCTGGCCCAAAGGGCTCCAGTGGGTCCTCCAGCTCCAAGTGGCAGGAGAGAAAGTGCAGCCCATGTGGGCACGAGGCCCCCGCACACGGCCTGCAGACGCTGGGGTGGCTCGGCAGCAACATGAGCCCCTCAACGACAGCAGCCCAGTGCTGACCGCCAGCAGGGCCGCTCCCCTCAGAGAGCAGGGGAGGTCCCCGTCCCCTTGTCAGTGGGTCTGCAGGTTCTGGCCAGCCTTTCAGCCTCCATGGTCTTCCCTGAGACCCTCTTGGAGCTTCTCTTTGTGGTTGGGGATCCCCCAAGGGAAGATGGGCTTTGACCTGTTCTTTCTCTGTGACTTCAAAAAAAAAGTCTCCAGAGTCCACTCCTATAACATGGTCATTGTATTTTGGTGAAGAGGCTTGCAGTTACTAAGTGATAGACCAAGGTCTGGACTTGGCCTGCACTTACTCAGGGCTCCAGGCCCTCTCCCTGCCTCCTCATCTCTGCCCATCCATCACCTGTATCTTTCAAACTCCCAACCAGCCACCCACGGCAACAAACCCAGCTCACACTACCACCCAGGCTATGCCTGTACGTAGATATAGCTGAAAAAAAACTTCCCTCCAAGAGTTTGCATTCAAGTCTACAATTGTTCAAAATTTCAAAGTGCTACTGTCATCCACAGAACTGATTTCACATCTTATGAACACGCTGTGCCTCCCAGTTTAAAAGACTTTTATCCACATAACTCATGTGAATTTACATCCATACGATACCCAGACAGAAGGAGAGGGGAAGAAAGAGGAATCACACTCATTTTATACGTTTTGCAGATCATCCAAAAATTCATTTTCTGGGTCTGGATTTTCTCCCCCTTGAATTCAACTTCTGACTTACTGAACAAGCACAGATGCCTTCACTTGTCACATCCTTTTCCCTCCCATCACAGCCTTGGAGGTGCTACTACTGAAAGTCAGCTCAAGCCGGACCATCAAACCCTCTCCAGATGGGCCCCCAGGGACCTGAGGGACCTTGCAGCAGGAGATCCACCTTTGCAGCTGTCTGGGCAGCTCCCAACCTGGAGACGTTGGTTATCAGCGAGCATGGTTTCTGGACCCGAGAAGGAGATTGGAAATGCTAGGTGACTTGACTATTGGTAGGCGTGACAGTGAGGACAAGGGCCACTGGGTTCAGCTGCTGTGACCCGTGTTCTGTCACCTTGTCCAACACAGAGAGAAGTCTGGTAAGTGTTACAACCTTCCACAAACGAGTTCACTGGTGTACACACCACCCTACGAGCAGCTAATTCAACCCTAAAACCACACACCTCAGTTCTCAGTCATCGCCTGTGCAGAGCACCCCTGAGGGCCACGGGAAGCCCCCTTGTGAATCAGGGATCCAGCCACGTGGGTTAGGGATCAACACCTGGCTCTATGCACAGCCGCATTGGTCTACACCACCAAACCCCCAGAGAGTCAGGATTATTTGCATAATTCAGACCATGTTGCCGGCTCCCTTCTTCTACCCAGATTGAAAGAAATGAAAACAATCAAAAAATGATTTGGACACATTATCATCCCCACTCCCCAAAGTCTGAAATAGAGCTGAGGTCAAAATGCTATGCGCCCTGTGGCCACTTTGTGCCTGTTTCTCCACCTTCACAACAGGCTGGCTGGCTCCTTCCTAGCATCTGAGCCTTTATTTCAAGCCATCTCTAGCTGTCCTCAGCTCCCCCCACCAACACCACCATCCCCATCAACCCGAGGCCGTTAATCTTGCTGGATCTTTGACTAGTGCCATGCCTTCCAGGGAAGATGTGGGAAGAAAGGCCCCAGGACGGGCCACCAGGTAAAACAGCCAGCCTAAGACCATGGTGACAACCTTCACCATGTCCTCAGCAGTTTTGAGCAGACAGACGGTAGGAAAGACAGGCACACAGAAGCCAGGTGCCGGCGAGGATCAAACGCGCACTTACCCTGGGAACAGACGCATTCAGCCGGCGCTTCCCGAACGGTCCGGAGCTTGGCAAGTCCCTCCAACTTCTGAACCAGGAAGAAAAGAGGGGAGAAAATGAGGATGAGTTTGAGAGCACAGAGAGATAAACGTGGAAAACTCAGCAAAAATCAGTCTATCGAAAAGATACATCGACGGTTGTGAGGATATTTTTGATAACATGTTTTAAAGGGTAGAATTCCATTCTACACAGTTTTGGAATGAGAGGAGAAACAAAAGGAAACATTCAGCAATTACTTGGGAATCCCTGAAAAGAAGGTGGCAGGTTTCTGCTTTGTTTCAACATCTTCGAAGACAAATCAAGGAAAGCCCCAGTGAAGGTGCAGTCGGCGTGAACCCCAGGAAGGCAGGGTGGAGCATGTGGGTGGGGCCCTGGCAGCAGCTTTGGTACTCAGCTCACCCCTCCCGCCTGCCCGCTGCAAGCCTGGCCCCAGCCTGCAGCCCCTCCCAGCCCGCTGCTGCAGGGGGTTGGGGTGCACCGAGCTCAGGCCCCTGTCCCAGCCCAACCTACCCTGACGACATCTCCCATTCTTCTTTCCTGTGGGGAGGCTTGGCCCTGACAATTTTTTAAAGATTTTATTTATTTAACTTTAGAGGGGAAGGGAAGGAGAGAGGGAGAGAAATATCAATGTATGGTTGCCTCTTGTGCGTCCCCTGCTGGGAACTGGCCTGCAACCCAGGCATGTGCCCTGATTGGCAATTGAACCGTGATCCTTTGGTTCACAGGGCCCACGCTCAATCCACTGAGCTACACCAGCCAGGGCAGCCCTGACAATTTTGTTCCATACAGTTCAACAAGCATCTCTGCACATGCCCAGCCCTGTGCTCGATGTGGGTGAGGGGAAAAGAATTACTACAGAAATCAAGTTGAAGTGACAGCTCCACCATTATAACTCACAGTACAGGTCCAGCACCATCTCTGCCTGGTCAGACCCTCAGAGTGACCCCTGAGGCCCAAATTATTGTCCCTTCCTCTGAGGGGACACAGGTGCAAAGAGAAGAAAAAGGAGAAGAAGAAGAGGAGGAAGAAGAGAGTAGTCCTAAATCCCAAGTTTAGGTTTAGGGATCAAGGTGACCTCCCAAACCAGCCCAGGCTTGCGTCCTGACGAGAGTATGCCGTGTACAGAAGCAAGGCCAGCTTGAGCATGGTTGGTAGGGTAATAATATCGGTGTAATAATTTATAGTTTTAATATAAACATTTCACCTAAAATGTCATACAGTGTGCTTGAGTGTGATATTGTTATGTTACATAATTGCATGCTTATGATTTTGTAATAAAAGGGGCGTTATTTGTGCTGGACTCTCTATTAACCTTTCTCTAGAAAAAAACGAACAAACAAAAACCCTGAAAACCTCACTAAAAGCAAAACAAAGCAGATCCCAAGTGTGTTAGTTAACCTTAGTGAGAAATGCACTGTGACGTGCAGAACCGGTCCGTCAGTTTCACATGTAAACACGACGTAACCTTTCCCCGCTGTTTCCTAAGGCCAAGTCTGGACCGTCCCAGAAGATGGGGCCTTCGGCCACGCCCTGTGCTGTCTCTGGCCGGGACGGCCCAGGACCAGGAGGCTGAGACAAAACATGACCAGGTTAGCTCCAGCCACCAGCAAAGCCGCCATCCCTGTCGGCCAGTCACCTTCGTTTTCCAGGTGGGCAACAACAGGTTGATGCAGACAGAGATGGAATTGCGGCCCAGGTTTGAGGGAGGGAACCTGCGACTGCGTGGTCAGGACACCTGGGGGAGGGGCGCGAAATCGGTGCGGAGATGGACAGGGTGGGGGGCAGCCTGTAAACCCCCCAGCCGGTCCACCCTCCCGCACTGCCCGGCCCTCCAGTGGGCGCCAGGCTCTCAGCCCCATTCGTACTGCACCTCCTTCGCATCCCTGCTCTGCGCTGGAGCTGCCCACCCGGCCCAGAGCTAGGCTGCCAGCCGCCCAGGCTGATCCCCTAGTCCCCAGAAGTTCCCCGCACCTCGCAAAGCTTCCTCAGGGCTCCCATCAGGTTGGGGGGGGGAGGGGCGCAAGAGGGGGCGGTTAGCTCCGCCCCAGGCAGCAGCAGACACCACCCCGGTTCCCCACAAGCTCGGGACCTCGGAACTCACTTTCCCCATCGCAGCTGCAAAATTTACCTGGAAAAGAAACCCAGCCTTCTAGATTAAGTCAATTTGTTGGTGGAACTCTCATCTGTTTTTATCATTGATAGACGAAAAGTCACACTAACCACCCCCCCACCCCTGTTTTAAACAAAAGAATTTAATGCTAAAAAAAAAGCTAGCTTTTTTTCCATCCTCATTGACTTTTCCATTGCCTTTCAGAGAGAGAGAACATCCATGGGAGAGAGAAACGTGGATCAGCTGCCTCCCACATGTGCCCAAGCCGGGGTGAACCTGTAACCTAGGCATGCGCCCTGAGGGAATCGAACTGGTGACCTTTCAGTTAGGCGAGGATGCTTCAACCTAGCCACCAGGCCAGGGCCACACCCGGCCTTTAACTGCTGCTACCTCACCTGGGCCGTTCCCCTAACTCGGAAGGGGGCCGTATCATATACTGGTAGGAAACACAACCACTTTCAAGCTATGCTTATTTTTAAATAAAAAGCTAAACAGGAAACTGTTGATGAGAGGGCAAAACAAAACTGTGGATGCTAGCAGGGGGATTGTAAGTTACGGGGATCGAGTTTTGTTCTGCACTTACTCTGACCCTTGCACGCATTCATCTTTCCCAACTGGAGGGTGACTGCGGGTTTCGTCCCCTAACCCTCTACCCGCCCCGCCTCCCGGTCCTGACCCTCCGTGGGCTTGGAACTGTCCCTACTATGCTCACAGAAGGAAATGTTTGAACTAGAAATGCAATCCCACATTCTTTATTCCCACGTTCTTTTGTAGTCTATGAAAATATCCTTTTGTGTTTAGCTTTGTGAGAAATGACTTAAAAGCCTCAACTTTAAAACAAAATCCTCACTGAGGACATTCTTTCATTGTTTTTAGAGAGAGAAGGGGGAGAGAGAGAAACATCGATGCAACAGAGCAGCAGGGATGGGCTGCCTCCTGTCTGCCCTGGGCCTGGGGTACAGCCCACCCCCCAGGTGTGTGCCCGACCGGGAATCGAACCATCCCAACCAACTGATCTGCACTGGCCAGGGCAACGCCTCCACTATTTATTTATTTATCCTCACCTGAGGATTTGTCCTGAGGATTTGTTCATTGATTTTAGAGAGATGGGGTGTGTGGGCATGGGGGCTGGGGGCAGGGAGAGAGAGAGAGAGAAACAGAAACATCGATTAGTTGCCTCCCAGGGACCGAACCCACAACCGAGGTATGCGCCCTGATTGGAATCAAACCCGAAACCTTTCCGTGTACTAGACAGTGCTCCAACTAACCCGGCCACCGGGCCACTGGGCCACCGGGCCAAGGTGAAAAGCCTCTTGATGTTTTACATTCCATTATATGTCAGGGCCCCTGGCATCTGCAGACAACGTGGCCCTGGTTTCACATACACAAACAAGTCCTGACTCCGAAAGTCAACAAAAGATGAGTTTCTGAGAAAACACGGGGAACATTCCCTCCAGAAGTGTTGAGTAGGAGGAGGAGGGAGACTTGCAGTCTGGGGGGAGGGGTGGCGAGAGCAGAGAGAAAATTAATCAGGGCAAATCATGGTTTCCGAAAGGGCACTCCACGGTCAGATGATAAACGCGCTAGCGAGCTGCTGGGGTGCCGGTCTGCAGCGCGTCCCCAGATGTTCAGTCACGCCCTCGCCTGGTTCCACATTGATGAAATGTGAATTAACGTACAAAAAAGGATGTAATGATTTATTTCTGTAAAATGCTCCAAATGAAGCCACAAAGGCATTCCTATCCTTTGACAGAAAATTCCTACTTTAGGGAATATACCCCCAAGGAAACAAATCAGCAGAAGCAAAATAAAATGATATTCACAAGGAAGCTGTGCCTCACGCAGCAGGAAGGGTGGTGTGTCCCCTCGGTGAGACTGTCACGTCGTCGTGAAACAGCGTAGTGAAGACAAGGAAGAGCATTGCTGGTGTGATAAATAAACCGCCTACAGCTGTGTACAAGTCAGGCCTGGAGTGGCAGCAACAGGAGAACATCCACTCACTCGGGTGTTGGAATTATGATGATTTACTTATTTAAAAGTTCTTCCTGCGTTGTGATACCATCTTCTCAAGAAAAAAAATTTAAAAATCCCAGAAGTAGAAGAGCCAAAGTGAAGCCCTGCCATCTTCCTGCTGAGGACAGTTTTTGAACGCTGGACAGACCATTGTGTCTCCTCAGACCCCACCCCAGGCTCACCTCTGCTAATTGGCAGCACGGGTGCCAGAGGAGGGGCCGGGGGAGAACGAAGCCCTCTCCGCACAGCCACATGCCCCATCTGCTCCCTCTGGTGGACCGGCCAGCCGTGTCCCACGGCCGCCAGCCGCCAAGAGGGCAGCACTTCCTGAGCATTCTTTTTTCTTCTGTGGCACCACAGTGATGGTGATGGTGGTGGTGAAGAGGACAGCAGATATAAAGCGTTATTATCAAGGTCACTGACTACCGAGGATGTGCCAGGTGCTCTGCCAGAGGCTGCCATCTCATTCAGTCCTACTGATAACTGCTGTGGTGCCAGGACTGCCTTTATACCCATTTACAGGTGAGAAAACTGAGACTTAGAGAAGACATCCTGGTGTTGACAAACTCCAATCATGAAGCAAAACAACCTTCGCTTATACACAATTTTCATGTCTAAAAAAAAGGATGTTATCAAAAGCTAAAAGACGATTTGACTTTGCATGGTGGCCACACAATGAAATGCACAGTTCACAAAGAAGTTGGACCCAAGGAAACACACGCCAAGGCACTTCATAAGTACATTATCCAAGATTAAAGATAAGGAGAGAATCTTAAAAGCAGCCAGAGAAAAGGAGACAGTTACCTACGAAGGCGTTCCCATCAGCCTGTCAGCTGATTTCTCAAAAGAGACCTTACAGGCAAACCTTACTGGGAAGAAGTATTCAAAGTCATGAAAGGCAAGGA